ATCAGAACCAAACATAAAAATGTTCTTGCTCTTTTAGGTCCCTAACTCAGCAAATTATTGGATGAAAACCAGTTGGATTAAACTCAACCCTGGAAAGATTGGGTAAAAGACTGGCCAGAGAAAAATCTTGAGGAACTTCAAGATTGTGCTATTGATTATGTTATCTTTTGAAGGTCTTTTAGCGATTTGCAGTCTTGCTAGAATCATTTCTGCTTGTAGGTTCTTAGATAGCAATATTAGGTACTTATTTATTTTTCTATTTCCAGCAGCCCAGAAATGTGTTCATTTCCTTCATACCTGTGGTCATCTAGGTCTTAGTTGTAGGTAGTGTTCTTTCAATGTATTTTCCCTAAGGCAAACTACAAATATTAATTTTTTGGCTTCAACAGAACTGTATTTTTAGTAAGAATATAGTGATTTTTTTTTACTTGTCTTTCACCTTCCTCCTTGCTTAGAAGATGGATAGTATTATATATATTTATTTTCTGAGCAAGGAGGAAGGTGAAAACCAAGTAAAAAAAAAAATTGTTATTTTCTTACTAAAAATGCAGTTCTGTTGAAGCCAAAATATTTTGTAGAAATGTCAGACCCGATGAGAATTCCATTGTTTTTTTTTGTTTGTTTTTTTTAAAAATCTTGTCAGGTCTTAGAATCAGAAAGATGACCACTTCCACTGCAAAATAGCCAGGAGCCTGGAGTTTAGGTAGGGACAGGAGGCATGGGAGACCCAGCTGAAACTCTGTTTTGAATTGGATAGGGCAGAGTTTAAAAACTTGGTTTTCTGTATCCCAGAGAGGGACCTAGTCAGCAGGTTGGCTACCATGAGGTGGCATGTGGGTTTTGATTTTTTGTTTTGTTTTGGTTTTTTCATTAAAAAATGTTTTTGTTTTAGAAAACCTAAGTTCTTTACAAAACAGAATGCTGGCTGTTTCCCCAGTTGAGTAAAGACTTCTTCAGCACAACGTTTACAGTATTACACCTGTCTTGTATTTGTTTCCAAATGAAAATGAGCATTTTTTTTTCTCTTTTAAACATATACATGCAGAAGGTCTGAATGCTCAAGAAAATTTTTTTTTCTTTTCCTTTCACACACTCAACTGTTACAACATGAAATTATTAAATTCATTCTCCAAAGGGTCAGGTGTCTGGGAACCAGAGAAGCCTGGTGCTTTTGCCATCAGAAATATAATTGAGACTCATCAAAATATTGTAAGAAGCATTTTTTTTTTCACTGACTCTTGAATTGCCTTACCTTTTTCTTATTTTGTTTACCCAGTTCTTTCCTTTTTTTAGTTTGTAAAGAACTACAAGGTGGTGGGTGAAGGGAGTTCGTTTGACTTGAGTTTTTAGTGTATGAATTGTCATCTTTAACTTCACCATTCATCTTCCTGAAATAAAACTTGCCTTGAAATTCATTATATATTTACTTTAATCTTCTTATAGTTATACCTAGGCCAGTCTCTATTAATCATCCCCTTTATTCCTATAAAAACTTTTTTGTTTTTAATGCAAGGGTTGTTGAATTTAATAGGGGTGTTTAAATAAATATTTAGAAGATGGGTGAATGCTGATGACCTCTTTCTCGTTCTTTATGTATTGCAAAGTATATAAATATACCGTTGAGGAATATTTTTAACTAAAATTTTTTCTTCTTACTTCCTGGTATTTCTTCTCTTTATTCCCAGCTAGTTTTGATTCTTCATGCTTATCTGTTGGGGTGAGGGGAGAGATGTTGATGGGCAGATTTGTGTTTCTATATGTAAATTGGAGGATTAGTTCTTACTAGTTTTGGAAAGCATTGAAAGGCTAAGGATTAAGTCCTGATTCTTGTCTCTCCAAGTAGTGCTAACTTAAGCGTCTAGTTTTCAGAGTACCATATTTTCTTGCATATATATGCCTCAGAGTAAGGTATCTTATTATTTGAAAGGCGAGTGAAGAGAAAAAAAACTTTCCTTGTACTGCGTAACTGAGTAGCAGTGCTATAGGGCAGAGCCTGCTCATTATTTTTCCTTTGGAACTCATGCAGAGTTGCTCTCACTTTTGCCCAGCCAAAGCTCAAGTGGCAGAGACTGCTTGTACCATATTTCCCTGTTGATAATGTGCACCCCAATTTACAGCAGCTGTTTCTGGAGGAGGGAAAGGTGCGTGTTATGTTTGGAAAAATTACGGTATATTTTGCAGCGTAACTTTTTACTTTATAGGTGTTTGCAAAGTAAAGAGATCTCTGAGAAGTCTGTTTTAAGGTCAGACACATTAGATGGGTTTAAAGAATATTTTAAATTACTTGAACTTATGTCTTTGATACTTATTCTTGCTTGAAAAAAACAAATAACAAGTACCTTCAGAGAACTATAAGATAACTAGTAAGTGGTTAACACGTATAAGCAAAAGCCAAAGGCTTCTTGGTAGGTCCTTGTTCTTTACCTATGTATTAGTAGTTAAACAACAGATTTGTAGTGAATGTGTGTCGTCTTATGTGTGTAGTTTTAAAAAGCCACTGAAATGAATAGACTATTGATTGAACTTTAAAAAAACCCAACAAGTTACATATGAGAAATGCATAATTGCATTTGCAATCTTTGCAGTTAGAATATAGTTAATACTACCATTATAAAAATTTAACAAATACAGAAAAATATGGTCAATAGCCATTACAGATTACTTTACTTAAGTAGCTATGTTTTTATAAAATAACTGTCAAAACATGCCCTTGTGGGGTTTTTTTAATAACTTGTTTTAGAGTTATAGTGTTAAATTACCATTTTACTTTTTGCCTTAAGCATGATGGTCATACTCATAGCATTAAATAGACTAATTGGATTTCTTGCTGGATTCTTGATGTAGCTAGGTTTTGAATCAATTGTAGGGGTTATAAACTGTAAATTTCTAAGTCTGAGATCAAATTAAGCTTAGTTGTACAGTGTTTCCATCTAGCAAGTATATTAAATTATAATTTATCATTGTAATCTGCGGTTATTACTTTTCTTTCTTTGTGTGCTTTCCTTAAATATTTCTCAGTCTTTGAAGACTAATTTCATATATTATATGGGCCTGGCCAGTACAGCCATGGTGAACTGTGTACTCATACGTAGAGTAGAGGATGCTGGTGGTGTTTAAGTGATTTTTTTTTTTTTTTTTAAAGACAAATTGGTCATTTTTTTTTCAGAAGATTATTTATAGACAAATCAGAAAAACCTTGTTTCCTGTACACAAAATACTAAAAAAAAAAGCTTTCAGTGAGTATTGTGTAGCATTGAAGAACCACTGACATTGCTTGGTGAACTTTTAAAAATAACGCATTCAGAAATAAAATTGCTATTACTCTGAAGCAACTTTTATAGGAACTTAGCCTTACAGGTAAATAAACAATGTTTATGTGGTACAGATGTGAAGATTTGGTTACTGTGTTGAGCTCTTCCAAAGTTAGTGAGCTAGAAATCTGGGTTTTATTCTGCCAGGCTACCAATCCTGAGCTTTGAGCACCAAACTAAAGTAATATATGAAAGTGTTTAAAAGCATGGCTTTCCTCGGAGTTCTTTCTAGGAAGTATAGGAAGCTGTTTGGGTATGTAGTGGTAAAGGCACTGTAGACCTTTTGAAATAATACCAAACTATGATACGTATTTGCATCAGAGTCTGCTGTAAGAGTAATATTCTGATTCTTAAAATTTTAAAAGTATCTGAAGCAGTTAAAATGCTTGAAACCTTCTCTGCCTGGGTTAGTTAATAGACCTGAGTAAGAATATTTTCTTAGAGTCATTGAGTTATTCATTCTGTTCCCCATTTACAGATTGCAAATATATCAACAATTGAGAAACATCACAAATGTCTCCATAATGCCTAGTATGAACAAAACCCCACTGTTTGTGTAACAGAAGCATTTCCAACAGTTTTGTGACACATGATGCATTTATATAATACACCCACAGATCAGTACACCTACTTTAAGCAGACTCAAGGCAAAATATAAATTCAACTTTTTGGATAGCTTTATTAGGTTCGTGAAGGGTAGATTTTACTTGGTCTAGTATTTTACAGGCTTCTGGTTTTTGAGACCTCTGTGTGCATTTGTGTTCTGTTGCAACAAAAATGGTTTTGGTAAGTAGTAGTTTTTTTAGTGTCTTTTTTTTTTTTCTTTTTCTTATCATCATTCTCATTTTAGCTCTTAGGACACTTATGCAAATAAATGTTCTTGATGTCTTCAAAGAGTTAAATGAGCATGGCTTTTCTGCTCTGTGCAGTGACATATGAAAGTAGTTAGAATGTTGGAATTGTTTACTTGCCTAAATTGTTAGACGGCACAGCCAGTACACCAGATTTCCTTGTGGTTTTTAGTGGAAAATATTAAACACACACTCTTTCTTCAGTTATAGAATTTTTACGTTTGAGCTGAATTAGTCATCAAACTGGTACAAAGATTCCAAAGGTGAAGACTGCCCAAAAGCCTTTTTTTTTTTTTTTTTTTTTTTTTTTTTTTTTT